TTGGACATTTCAAAGGCTGAGGCGCCGCAGGGGAGTTTCCCGCCAGCCCCACGGGGCTTCCTTCCTCTCTTGAACTGCAGCAAGAGCCCGGCAGGGGGCGCCCTTATCGACTAATCGAACAGTTGATGGAAATCCCAGCAACTATCCGATTTGTTCGTTCTACATTTAACACCCCCGATTTGCGCTCCCGTAATCCTGCCGCACCCGGCGCTCCAGACAGAACGGCCGGGAAGCCCTGGGCCCGGGCCCCCAGCCAGGCCCACATCCCCCTCCCTCCCATCAGCCCAGCTCCACTTACTTCTGGGGCTGGGGATTCGAGTGACCATCCTGCCCTTCCCCTTGGGCGTCCGGAACTCCGGGAGGCCCGGCTGGCCGGTCCCCTCCAGATCCAGCTTCCGTTTGGCCTGCTGGGCAAGAGCGAGAATTCCGGTTAGACGGGAGCCCCCCCGAGCAACTCGGGCCTGGGTCTGGGGACATCCACGAGCCATGTGCCCTATAGAGGCCACCGCGGATCGATTGCCCTTGGATCACGCTGGTCTCTTGCGGCCTCGCAGTCCACCACTGAGCTCTCTGGGGCAGGGAGCCTTTGTACAGCACCTAGCACCAGGAGGCCCCGATCTTGGCTGGCCCTTTTGCCAGGCAAATAATGAAACCATAACCAGAGCTCGTGCCCAGCCCCCGCGTCAGCCTCTAGCATGTGGAGCAGCTGCCCTGGCTCCGCACAGGTGGAAGCCGCAGCCCTTGCAAACCACAGCCCGGAGCAGGCCTGTCCTGGCTGCACCCAGGGGCTCAAATCCCCGGGATCCGTTCCCTCCCTGGGTCAAGTCCTTGCAGCTCCCATCCCCCTCCCACCAGCCTCTCTGCAGGGGGCACAGAAGGAGCAATCGGGCCCTGACCCTGCCAGGTCCTTGGCACCGGTGCACGGAGAACGGGGAGCTGGGGCTGCCTTTGAGGCCGGACCGTAGGGCCACGCAGCCAGCTGCTAGCGCGGAAGCAGGCGCGCCTTGGAAGGGGGCCCGGCACCTCCCCCCACACCCACAGAGAGCGCTGATTAGCACAGGCCCTTCCAGCCCTGAACAGGAGCCCCAACTGTATTTTAATGCCCTCCCATCTCAGCAGTAAGCAACCTCCGGCTCTGCACGGGCTGGGCCGGGGGAACCAGCCACAACCCCCCCCACCTCCCCGCAGGAGCCAGGACCCAGCTCTGAGGCTGGTGAGGAGCAAGACCCTGCTACAAACCCAGGACCCGCAGCCCTCGGGGCCCCCCCAGGGAGTTACCACAGACGGCTGCTCCACAGCCGGTGGAGCCTTCCCCGCCGGGCCCCAGGCCCACACGTTGGAGCCCAGGCATCCATGTCACTGAGCCGCCATGACGAGGGGGCCCCGCTGCCGGCAGAGAACGGAGAGTCTCTGGCTCTCGCCCCCCCGCCCTGGGACGCTGCCAGGCCCGAGGGACCGCGGGCGCGGATCTGAGCCCGGCCACGGCGCTGCGCCTTTCCCTGGCACCGAGGCGCTATCAGCGCCCAGGCACAGGAAAGCGCTTGCGTGAGACGCGTCCGGTTACGACAGCGGATTCTGGGAACCGGCTGCCCCAGGGCTCTGGGTGGGGGCAGAGGGCTTCAGCCGGGGGCAGAGCCTTGCACCACAAGGAGCTCAGGCACCCCGGGAAGAGGGGCCACCCTGACCCCTTCCAATTGCCCAACGCAAGGGCCGAGCGACCCCCCGCAGGCTGCGAGGGGAAGCGGCACGTGGCAAGGCCGGGCAGCTGGCTCCCAGCAGCTGCTACATCCCTTCCTGCCCACTTCCTGAGCGGCACCGGAGGCTGGCC